AGGGAACGTTCGCCGTATGTAGCGATGCGGGTACCGTTAGCGGTTAGTGGGGGAAAGAAGCAGAATCGGGAAGTGGATTATTATGTGGTAGCAAACAAACTTCAGCCCCCGTATTTACGAGGAAACGTAGACCAGTTGAGCGATCGGTGATGTGGAATAGGCGACTAGTGCGAGGAGGGCCATGGACAGTCGTCGCCGTTACTGACTGGTCGGGGTGTTTAAAGGGGTGTTGGAACGCGGCTTGAAGGAACAAGGTGGTTGACACTTGCGTGCTTTTGGGCCATAAGATTGGTGATACCAGCACCAAAAGGGACGGGCACGAGATAACGATCTGGATCGTGAACGTGGTCGATGCCTGTTGATCTCTAACCGTTGTAGGCGATCGGTCAAAGCATCAGACTTGGCTTGTAGGTGCAAAGTATGCGGTCCAAGCCAATGCAGAATGGCGAATGAAGCCTTTATCTAATTAGCTTGGAGTAGTTGATAAGGTTTTGCGATGGACAACATGACTTCCAGATCGGCGCGCTACGGTGGATTAATCTCCCTTCTCGTCAACGACGCCCCATCAGAACTGATCGAACACGATGCAGTCCAGTTCTGAAGCTGTTTGCTGCAAGCCAGCCCAGCTCCGCCATGACGTGATGTTACCTCTAGACCTGGTGGTAAACTGCGTGTTGCTCACTCTCAATTGATTCCAGGTGGTTTAAATTTTTTGAGGACCTTGAACGTCACCTCAGGCATTTATTCACAAATCACTTGGACATCCATTACTCTGTAACAAGCTTCACCGGACAGCAATTCTAGGAATATGCCATCTTGTCGGTTAATATAGACTTGTTCTAGATAGCGACAGACTTGTCGGTCCCAGACTTGGATATTGCTCCCCTAGGTAACTTCTGGATGAGAGGCTGGCGGACTTAAGGTGTGCTGTCCATGTCATCTTTTTGTCATACATTTTATTAAGTTACTCCCCTAGGTGCCATGAGGCTATGCAGCGGTAGCGGATCCTTCCCTCGTTGTGGAGATTGCGGATCAGTCGGTTTCGACGGTTTCTTACCGGTTATTCGGATGTTAAATGAACGATCTAGCTCTGTCTGTGTCAATGAAAGATTCATTCAATCACTACTCGTGTAGAAAGCTACAGCAGTATATGGAGGATGTGATACTGCTGACCACAGTCAACCGGCACTGCGCCAATCAGAAACTCATCGTCGTCGATTTCGATGTTCCGCTCCGAAATATAAACTCGTGTACCATCTTGGTAGAAGCTAGAATGGATGAGCAGACTATATGATGTGCAGGGATGCTCTACCTCTGGTATGTTTACATCTAGTTGGGTTTGTCTGAATTTCGTGGAAGTCTCATGGAGATGCGGAAGACATAATGTAAGGTTCCTTGTCAGCTCCTTCGCTTCTTGAACATTCTCACAAGGTCGTCGATCGTCTTATGGAGAGGATTCACTGTAACCAGGTAGATGGGGTCTGCGCCGACTCAATTGCAAACCAAAATGATTTCTGAAGCAGTCCTGGGACTGGGTATAACAACGGATTCTGTGCCATTTGTTCTCGTATTTCTCTCTGTAAGATTTTACCTACTAGTGGGTTCCGTCAGGTTAGTCCTCTCTCTCAACTTTTGTTCAGTTTTGCCGTTGTCGTCGTAGGTTATACTCTCGAAGTCACAACTGGAAAGAAGTCGGACTGGATTACCCAAACGACACTGTTGCGTTAAGTAACGGTCGTTCAAAATACTTTTAACAGAATTTCGAGAGTGATCCATTGGTTCAGAATGCGCCTTTCAAATCTCAGCCTTACTTTCAAACAAATTTCTCTACTTCAGATTCTATGCATTTGCTAAAGAGCTTGACATACTTCTGTTGATCGGCTGAACGACTGTTGTATCATCACACCTGGTAGTCGCACTTGCTATGTCATATTACGAAGAATCATCTGGTTACTTGAAGAATTGTTTCAAGTTTTACAAAAACCTTACCTATGACTCCAATCACCTGCTGCGGATTGATGAGTCGGCTCGTTCGATCGTAAGTCGTTCTGTCTACCTTTCAGTTCAATTGTTTTTGTTTCAGGCAGAGGCCTGTTGGGACGTGAAACCGTCTGGTACCGTATCTGCCCTCCCCGAAGGTACTGATGTCTTTGCTAAACACAATGCTCACCTTAGGATTATTCCTTTTGCGTAACGTCCTTTCTGATTACACACTTGCTGAATTGTTACATCAGTCACTGGTTGACTGGACATGCCATCCTTCGAAAGTTTCCAACCTGGACTCAATCCACATGAGCAATACAAACACGCCGCCCGACCTCTGGTCTTACAGCTCTAAGCAAATGTTTGTACAATAGTGTGGCTTCTCATTTTGCTTCACTCAGTGCGCTAGGTAAATCATGGGACCGGACGCCACTGGGAAAATTGCGCTGGATCACATTTGGATATCATTACCAATGGAGCGACAGGGTAATTTTTCTTCGCTAGTATCAGGTCGCTTGTTTGAAGTCTAGTTATGAGTGCGGTAATCTCGGACACCAACCGCTCATGTTCCCACCTAGGCGGCATTGTGACAGTCAAGTACACCGAACTTTACACCTTACGAGGACCAGAAGGTGGGATCATCCTTTATTCTCTAAGTAAATGGATAGTTTACCAATTTGAGTAACTGCCATGTCCACAGGTATACAAGCTCTGTCATTTTTGCCTGCCAAACTAAGCAGGCTACTTTGCTGCCCGTACTGTACCGATCAATTCTGTAACCGGTGGGAGAACAGCCATAGTGGACTTGTCCAGTTGCTTCTGCTCCACAGATTCCTATGCGAGAACCAGTTGTCCACTCTTCGGACACTCCGTTTCCGCTCCATTCTGCCGGTTCCCTGAAGTTCTACTTGGCAGCCTCCCATTTCTACTTTGATCAAGAGTTGCAACTTTGTTTACTAGTAAACGAAAAGCACCACATGCTGCGAGGCAAATACTGTTTACAAGACTTTTTTGTACTGGTCTGGGAGATTTTCTCTTTTAGATAGGTATCCTGTGGTAAACGTTTTTAGTCGTTTGCATATTCCCGTGTAACTGATTAGCATCGAGTATTGCAATCATTTTCGATAAACCATCGACTGGTGTGGGCAGTTAAGTGGAATGCGTGGGTAAGATATTTGAATGAGGGCAGTTTGGGGAGCAAAGGTTACGGTAAGAAAGGGTATTTGTGTTACTCAACCGAGGTTGGTCGGGCGGGGTAGGACCATTGCCATCACGTGTCTTTTTTGATGACAAAGTTCGTTAGTGTAGTCGAATGGCGAACGCCTTTACTGTTGTGAGTGTGTTTCTTCGAACGATCTTGTGCTACTCGATACATCAAGCGGAGCGACTCAGTCGGTTTGAACCGGTGGTATGTATCGATCAGATGAGCTTCAGTCGCGCTTGCAACGAATGCCATCACGTCCAAATGTTCTGTAAATGCTCCATCACCAAATATAAACATGCACCACAAAATTGGCGAGACCTAACCGAGGTTCCAGACCTGTAAAGGGTCTGGAATGATCCTTATTGGAACCGACTCCGTTGTGATATTGTCCGGTGGACATACACTCAAGAGGAAAACCCGGGGTGATATGCCGAGAAAAATAGAGACCCAGTTAGGTGACTGCCTAAACACCTAAGGAGCATAGGTCTATGTACTGGAATATAATTTTCTGTGACAATTTAGTTTTAGGCTCTTTGCATGGACCATTTAGGGTCGTAGTGTGTGTAGCTTGGAGAGCCTCTGCGAGCAACCGAACTTAGACCCCTTCGGGCCTTCAATAACCGTTGTCTCAACTATAACCTGTGTAGGATGGTGCCAGCAAATTCGCAACGAGGAAAAACATCTTCGGTTGTACAACAGGGACTTCAATCATAGAATATGTCCAACACCAAAAGCTGTGGTGGTTCGGTCATAAATTGCCGAATCATCGTTTACCTAAAAGAGTACTGTTTTCCATGCCCAATGCAAGCAGGGAGGTGACTTACGTTTCACCTGGCAAACGGATATGAAAGCGATTAAGAAGTTTGAGTACTATCGGTACGACTCAGCTGTCAGATTGGGTCCCTGTAATCTCCCCTGTGGATGGTCGGAACCGGCGTATGATATGAATGCTGACCGATGTCAATGGTGTTCTAGTTTTCAGCTTCTATCCCAATTGTCTGAATGAGTGGCTGGTAGGCTAGCACTAACCCCCTTCGTCGTTCACTCCACAACAAGGCTTTCAAATAAATTGCGCTTGTAAGGAAACGAAGCACAAGTGTTGAACATTCATGTTGTCATGTCGATGCTACACGTAAACGACATTCAACTAAGCTGAAATAAGTGTGCTGTATGAAACTGATATTCATGTTTAGGAAAACACTTTCCGGTTCCGTGAACACGGCTCACATCAGTACATCACTGCACAAACAGCTGAATCCTATCCTTGTGATAGGTCTATGTAGTTGATTAGCTCCCTCTTCAACATGGGCTATCAGGTTCGTCCTTGGTCATAGTGCAGTCTTCCTTCCTCTTCCACAAAACCTATTTCAGAGCATCAAGTTATTCCTACGGTGGTCTTTTTTATTTTCATTAGGGTGACCCGTTCTCGGTAGTCAGCACGACTACGACTGTATCTATCCATCATCATCACCGTTGTTATTGACAGTGGATGTATTCATCAGCGCTTTGTATGACCATTATGTTTCTCTGGTGGTTTCTTGTAACCATAAATCGTGCTGTCGAACATTCATTCGATACATTGTTCGTTTATAACTTCAAGTGACAGCTTTTATCATCGTATTACAGCGCTATGAAGAGTCCAAATATGGAGAATTCCCTCCGCTGCTTGCCAAAATTTCCACACAGATTGTCCATCTGTTACAAACGGAGCTTTCCTCCACCACCTTGGGCAGTGATGTGACCCAACTGGTCCAAGCATGTGCCGACTTCCAACCAGAAGCCGCTATTGTGAACTACTATCGCGGGAAGACTAACATGGGTTTTCATACGGACAACGTGGAATTCGACAAAAAAGCTCCATTGGTCTCAATAAGGTGGGTCTCATTTCATTAATACCGCTAGATTATTTTGTGGAAAAATTGGTTTTATGGACATTATTTGATGCCTTGTCAATCGTCCAAGAAGGCATGTCACTCCGGTATATGGAGCCTATTGTGTAGCTCATTTACAATTGTTTTCCACCTGCCACGTAACTATCTGTCTCCTCCAGAGGTTATCTGCGTAGGGCACCAACTACAAAATAGTACTAAGTGGGTCACCAGCTCCTATGGGGATTCATTCTTCCTCCTGCGAAGTCGACAGCAAAAGGTCTGATAGGTCTCTAAATCCAACTAGGGACACTGTGGGACACAGCCTTACCTAGTGTTCTTTCATTTCAATGCGGCTGACTTGTGTGGAGCGAGATAGTTTTATGAGCATCTTCAAGGCCTCTCGCATTACTTCACGGCTTCTACAGTTTGCGCTTCTAGCCTTTGCACACTCATTTGTGATTCGAAAGACAGCGCAAAAATTCCGATTCAGTCCACCATAACTAGCTCGTGTTTCCACGTCCGTGGGTTTGAAGTTCGAGGCAAGACACCTGGTATAGACGGACAACCATTATAACCTCAATTAGGTCATAGCGGTTGACACCCATTTTAGCTCTTTTAATCCAATGGGAACAATTCCGCGACGAGAAGGCGCTGAGCAGGGCTTCCGCAGCAGAAGTCAGGTGGTAGCCGCTTCCTTAGAGACCTTGTAGAGGGAGACAAGGAAACAGCTTTTCGCGCTTACTAAATAATCCATCTTCGACCATACTGAAGCGTTTGGATGCTGTCGCTTGGCTCACGGACTTTCAACAAGTTAATCCAAAGGTGAATAAAGACGTGTAAAGGATGGGGGCACATAGTGGACGAAGTGCCAGCTGATCCTATTGACATCCTTTATGTCGGACTCCCACGGAACTCCTCATCCATGAATCCAGTCACCATACCTGTTTTTGGAACGGGGGCACCCAGAAGTGAACAATACAATAAATCCATTCACTGAGGAACTACACCGGTAGAACCAAAGTGTCCCCAAGTACTGGGTGCCCTGACCATATTCAGTACAGTTATCCTAGGTACACTCGATATGAAGCTCAAGCATATCAAATCATTCAGCTGTAGCACCCTTTCGGTGCCTAACTGCCATGCCACCCGAAGGAGGCACGAGGGCTGGGATACTGTCACGCTGCCCAAGCCTAGACAGAAGAAGTGGAGTGGCAGAGGTCGGGTTCGAACCACGGACCTTCTGGTCAGGAAATCCGTGATCTCACCACTGAGTTATCTCGCTGAAGCATATAACAGGTGAAATTATAGATTTTTCACGAAACATATACTTGCTTTCGAATAGTCGATATCGGGAATACATTATATTTACATCATGACTAGTATGAACTCTTTCCTGTAGCAGTGTTTCTGCCGATTACCTGACCGCCCGAACAAGTGGTGGAGGGTGCTCTTTCGAGAACTACCCCAGCCTCCTGGACACATAACTTGTCTCAAATGTTCGACCGAGTGGTCCAGCTAGATTGCGTGAGTCCACTCTCTGTAGAACACATTTAGGAGCTGAAATGTATTGAGCCATAACTACTTGGAATCATTCTACACTGACAAACTGCTGGTTTTCTTCTAAATAGTGGATAAACCCTTTTTCGGGTATTATTTGTTGCAATCTGCGACGTGGTGGCCGGCCGAGTTGGAATCGAAGAAAATTCATTTTATCAGTACGGTCTTTGTTCTCCCATCCGCGATTGTGGAGGGGGGGGGTCAAGATGGCTCAAGTGGTTAGAGCTCGAATTTACTGACCGGCAGGGCTGTAGTTCTAACCCGATCCCTGCATCTCGACTTTCTCTGTTTAGGCTTGGGTAACCTGGTAGTATTCCAGACCTCGTGCTTCCTTCTGGTGGCATGGCAGTAAGGCACCGAAACGGTGCCACAGCTGAACGATACCACCTGAGACGAATTTCTCCAGGTTTCGATTTCTGTGAATTGTGGTTTATGCTCTCAGTTTATCTTCAAAATATAGTGTCACACCAGTGCCTTAGTAGCCTCAACCCATTTGCCTGCAAGCTCATGGATTGTAGTTAATAGTAGGACAGGCAGCATGTGAACTACTTTTGAAGTCGCCCGTTTTCATCGTCTTCTTCGGTTGTCGGTCAGCTTAGAGCATTCAGACTTTCAATACATCAAACAACTTATTGGATACATGGTAAGTTTTGATTCGGTGTGCACAGATCGTGTTGCATACTGAGGTGGTGCCAAACACTAGAAAGACCATCTGGTTGATCCTATAGATAGCTGCTCCTGAGCTCGATCTGCGATGCTCACGAATTCAGTCCATGATGCTCAGAGGCCACAGTTGTAGTTCTTTTATTGTGGCGAGTTGTACTGTTGGTCTGAGCAGGAGGGACTGCACATGAATCTTGCCTGTAGGAATAGGCTACCGCTACACTGCAGCCGGCACGATTGACATATGGCGAACCAATTTCGGCTAGTCGTTCTGGGTACTGCTCCTGAGATCTGCGCGATGCACGAATTCAGTCCATGATGCCCGGAGGTCACAGTTGTAGTTCTTTTATTGTGGCGAGTTGTACTGTTGGTCTGAGCAGGAGGGACTGCACATGAATCTTGCCTGTAGGAATAGGCTACCGCTACACTGCAGCCGGCACGATTGACATATGGCGAACCATTTTCGGCTAGTCGTTCTGGGTAGGCTCCTAAGAAAGTCGTTAGTTTGCGGTAATACGAAGCAGGCCACACCGAACTTGCATACAAAACAACCATGTCAGCTTTTGGTAAGTCATCTCCGAGGTGAGCTCGAAGAAGTTGGATGAGTTTAGGCGCTGTGGTTTGATGGTTTGGGTCATAGTGAGAATCTTGGTGTTTATCCAGCAGATTTTCATTTAATGTCCAGCACGTGGTCAGACGTTCTCCTTGGTTGAAACAAATGAAAATGAGAAAGACCCCTTGGAAGCATGCATGTGAAGCATAGACTCTGGCTAACAGAAGGTTCCAGCTTGTTCAACTACAGATGGCACAACGTAGTGTTCAGTGATGATATAAAACAACCTGGGTGGTCCATGTGGCTGGAGTTGCTGTCGGTACAGTATGGGAAAAGGAAAATAAATTCGTAACGGCCGGGGACGGTGGAAAATCTCTTCTGGTTTTGCGTTCGACTTCTATGATACATAAGTATAAAACATTTAAACACAACAAAGAATTCGCAGTCGATTCCCTTTGCAGTTCATGTGAAGAGCAGGTAGGAGGTGGTAGGTGGCGATGCTGGAGATCTTACCGCCTTATTAATGAGCCTATCCTTCCCCTTCCGGATGTCTGCCAGACTGTCCTGCACACATAAATACATTATGAGAGCTAAATAGACTGTTCTAAGGACTGAGGAGAAAAGCTGTTGGCACGCTGAAAGTTTGGATTTTCTAAGCTGAACTAGAAGCCGGAAAATGTGTAGAACGGGTGAACTTAATGTTGTTCCCCATGCTATTGAGAAAAGCAACACCTTTTTTGGGGGGATCCTTCCGTTTTGTGGGGATGTTTTCAATGTCACTTGCCAGTCAGTGCAATTCGTACCTGTAAAGTGTATAGTGTTACTGTATGATTGAATGGGATCACAACCGAACCTCATGCTTGCGGTTGAACTGATCGATCTGTTAGATAAGTTCGTCTGTCTGGGCAGTCTCAGTGAACTGGTGGAAGACACTCAATTCCCGAATAGTGAAGGATAGGGTGGCGTTTACCGACTTCCGAGATTGTTGGTGTCGATGTGACATCATCTTGACTGTCAAAGTTGTAGTGTACAATGCCTCAATCCTATTTTATGGATCTGAGACGTGGCCGCTGCCTACGGAAGGTGTTTGGAGACTACGTGATCGACTTTCGGCGCCTCCAAAGCATTGCGCGTGTCTGCTGGGGATTTTAGATCAGTACTTCTGACGTGCGCCAGATGGTTTTCGGGAGGGTTCATTCTCCTTCGATAGGTTAGCTGGTCACTCTCCAAAGTTTACGCTGGTTAGGCCATGTGCTTCATATGCCAGGGGCCGTTCACTTTGTAGAGCACTCGTGGTCTAGCCGTACGATCCGAGGGTGGTCAGTCCATGGCTTGCAAACGAAGCATAAAAGCCATTACCGGTCAACTTACTTGCGTGGTTAACTACCGTCTCCCCAGATGAGGACCGCAGACGAGTCAAACGTATGGTTAGTGACCCTAACAGATACAGCTGCTGGTAGTTTGAGAAGACCACAGTACTTGCGTCCTGCGTTCTTGTTTCTGACACACAACATTCACCGATACAGAAGGAATCCAGCGTACGAGCAAGAACCACCTGTTGGCCTGCTTGCTTCAGTGTGCGAACATTGAAGTTGGCTAAGTAGACAGGCTTTCGGGGTTTGAAAACAGACTTCGAAGTGTTTAGGGTTGTGACTGAACTCGGACGTACAAAAGCTGCAACTGAGTGTGATGCAGGGCGAACAAAGCGGTTAGTCCTAGAGCAGGGACCTGCGGAGAGAGTATTCAAATTTGGGCGGGAGAGGGTGAAAGAAGGAAAACGTGAAAGTGTAAGAAGGGAGACGTCAGCAGTAGCCTGTTTTCGCTTACCCGCCCTGCTGTATGCAGCAAGTAAGGCGACCCGGCTGATGGCACCACGCGACGGCCGATGGGGCATGGGAGTATCGTTATGCGTCAACCAGATCGATACGCTTGATGCTCGAAGCTTCCTTGTGTGAGGTTAATTTGTATCCCCGTCACATACCTTTATCGCATGTGCGACTGCGCTCATTGAAGTGTCGAAATATAATTGATTAATGGTTGTTCTTCTGTTTGTTTAGGTCAGAGGAGTCGGATTCCCCTAAACTAGGTGTAGTACTTATAGATGTTTATGTTCTTTTTATATAGTCTGGTACCACCTAAAGGCCCCGAAAAATGCTTACAATAGCATTTGTACGGTACACCGATGGAGATCATCAACAATAACAGTGGTTAGCGCAAATCGATGTGGGTTTGCTTTATTACTTACCCGAATATGGACGGCAAACGTTATTCTTTTGGATAACTTCGCTTATTTTGATGAGTACGAGTGTACTTACAATTTTCCGTCCAATTTGGTTTAGACTGCTACCACCTGCATCACATGCTTACAACCTCGACCCACATCGGATCAAGTTGTTCTTGTTTATGAAACTGTCATGCTAGAATGTCCATATGTGATTTCACAGTAGTGTTTTCACATTGCGCGTTAATAAATACCCGTGCAACCCGACGCGACCGACACACTCGCGCTTACACAAGACAGGAACAGAACCGAATTTCACGGGTCCACGGAAAATCACGGAACACGTATAGTAGTTTGGCTTCAGAGCAAATACCTCTGGCCTCCGGACCCCTATTCGGGAACTGTTACCGGCTGCGCTCAAACGGTAAGTCTTCTTCTGACTTATTCCACTTTGGTATTGTATCTATATATTGCGTAAGGTTCACCCAGAAACTGTAGATTATCGTCTTGCAAAGTATGAACTCTTTGTTAGTGCAAGACAATAAGTTACATTCGCTGAGTGCACCTTATGCAATACAAACTACGATATCAAAGTGAAGTAAGTCAAAAGGTGACCCATCGTTTACGCGTCGTTGGAAATAGTTCTTGGATAAGGGTCCGGACGCTCTGCAGTAGGACTGCTACATGTGTTCCGTGATTGTCCGTGGACCTGTGGAGTTCAGCTCTGTTCCTGTCTTGTACGTGTGTGTGTGTGTCAGTCGCGTCGAGGTACGTGTACATTTATTGTGCGCAATCTGAAAAAAAAACACTAATGTGAAATCACACAAATATCCACTAACGGAAAAGTGTCACTTTCCCCACGGAATTCAGAGTGCCGGGAACTAAGAAGTGACGAAAAGGAATGAAGCGGATTATTAAAACTGTGGACTTTCACAGTATTGCCCATCTCCCATGCTAGGGTCTACGTTGTTCTTCTTGTGTTTGGCTGGGAATACTACAAGATATGACCACTAAACTACTTTGATGGAGTCGGTACTGTCAGTTTTTGTCCAGATTATCCAAGTAAGTGCCTGTTATATTGGAATTCATCTCACTTTCCAGATTTAATTGCATGGCCAGCCTCGGCATTTCCGAATTGGTGTCTCAACAATGGAACTACTTATGATGAAGATATTATTCATGCACGTAGTACTGTGTTATACGAAGACTGTGTACGCCATGCGAACCTTTTGTGAGAAACTCTTTTGTATAATCCCTTTCATAGTTTCCGTACTTCGCTAATCATCTCAGTATGCCTTTTAATCGATACAGTGATCCCTCAGTGATCCCATAAACCACGGAGAGAGGTGACACTCGCTATTGTTTTCGTGCCTAATACACGAACCTGTGTTGGAATATTAGTAACTCGGGTGCATCTGTTGCTAGGTGACCAAAGGGCTGTTGACTCCTCCGGCGAGCTTGTCGGTTGCCTTGCAAGCGTTTCACCATCAAACGAGGAGATATCACCGAGTTGCATGTGCTGATGTCTCCTGGAGTAGTGACAAGTTTCTTGTGATTCGAATGGCGAAGGGGTAAACACAGGAACCTATCCGAAGTCACATGTGGTTTTGGGCACCTAGCGCCGTTACTTCTTGATGGAAACCTAAAGCTTTATCAACTTCATCTTTTTGTGTTAGCAGGTCTTTTCACGTGCGATGCAAATTTGAACAAAAGATTTGCTGTATACCATTGTATTGTCTTAGCGTTTATCATTTCTCTCCCTCTCTCACCCCTCTTTGGATTGTAGCTTGGGTCCAAGCGCACTTTATTTATGGGAAGTTTCGAAGCCTGTTACTGCTTCTCCCAGTTTTCTGCATCCACCTATCAACGGTGGTGATCAACCCGATGGCTCCACAGTGATTCCGATCGTGTTACGGCACGGCGATGTTGTGATCATGCTCGGGAAGAGCCGTCTTGCCAAGCACGCCGTTCCGATAGTCCTGTTTGACGAAGCTTGCCGAGATCCCGTTCTCCGGGTGGCGGCCCAACTTGCATCACAAAGACTGTGCCCAAACTTGTGTGCGAGCGTAGACTCATCCAATGGTTCATCTTCCACTTGCCGGGTAGAACCTTCTTATTGCTCCTGTGCAATTTGTAAAGCATTTGTAGACTATGTTCTCACCACGCGTATCAACATGAATGTGCGGCAAGTTATTCCAGCAGGCTATTCGTTTTCCGATTTTGATAAAAAGTGACTTTTTGATTGTCACGATCTCGTTTTTCCGCATCTTGGGTAGTGTGCAACCCAGCGACAACGATGAAAACGTATTCTAGTCTATTCAAACCTGTTTATTCCTTGATGTGGAAATCTACAGTAGCGATGCAGACGGAGGCACGGATTCCTTTGACGCTTGGTTCGAATAGGTTTAATTCTGTCTTCTTCTTACTCTTCGTATTGTGCCGGTCTTCCAAATAAGGCAAGCGATTTTGTTCAGAAAGATGCATACCATGGGATTCCTTACCAGTGCCTTCGAAAAATCCGGTTAGGTGTTTAGAGATAGACTACTTAAGTAGTGAGCTTCCGTAGAAAGCTTTCCAACAAGAACTTTAGCATATATACAAAAATCTAAATGTGCACATGCCTCTCTTTAACTGTGTAAAACAAGATTCAGCTCTTCTATTGGGAATAAACTGCGACGACGCAAAATAGTTGATTCATCCGCATTCCTTTCATTAGAATACTGCTGCTATAGTGTCTTCTTTAGGTCCATGGATAATAGATTCATGGAAATAATGGCCAATTTTGGTTCTGTAATCAGTACAATCATAGCGACTAACGTTCGTAGCAAAATCCCAAACAGAACAGCGGAAAACCTTATGCATTGTTGATGGGTGACATCCGTATTCCTGCCTGAATTAGGAGTGACTATTAGGAGATATCCTCATTTTGGTTAGGGAGCGGTATTGGCAGATCACCCCAGTAGGAAAATGGCGGTTGTTGAGGTTCTTCCTTTTGAAGAAACTACGGCTATGAGGATCCCCTGTCAAGAAAATAACGTTTGTAGAAGGCTATCCTATTAAAGAATTGAAGGTTATCGCGGGTCTCTTCACTCGTCAATGATGTACCCCTTGTTAAAGTAACAACTTCTATGGAGGAGCCCGTTACGAGTAAAGGCGATCATGAAGATTGCCCGTATTATGTTGATTAACGGTTCGGAGGATCCCGCATTAAATTGATGGTGATTGTGGGACATCCTGTTTTGATGAAACAAGACAGTCCTACGTTTCCAAACAATTGGGTCTTATCGAGTATTCCTCTTGGAAGTTGACGGTTGTTGGAGGGTCTTCTGTTCAACAAATGACGATAGTGAAGGATGTCCCCAGTGCGGAAAAGACAGTTTAAGGAGAGATAAAGGAAATATCGGTTATGGAGGATGCCCTTGTTAGGGATATAGTGGTTGTGGAAGGCTTCCTTCTAAAACCGATGACGGCTCTGGGGGAGCTTCTCGTTGGAGAGATTGTGTTTATAGATTGTCCCTATGTTGAAAGAAGGTCACTTTCAGATAATGTCAAGTTTGACAACGCTGGTCTACTTAGTGATGTTGAAATCGAGTCCCACGGTGAAGAGTATGTGGCAGTCCTAGGCACATCGATTGCTATTCGCTTCATGGTGTGAATAAACAACATCATTCTGTCTTTAGACGGCTGAACAAACAAAATATACAAATATTAAATATTATTGTCAAACACGAGGTTTGAAAGGTGAAAAAGCCGGGAATCAGCAGCGTGTAGTCGACAATTTATGACCGTGATAGTTGTTTGTTCCACTTGACACTTCATATGGTTGTTTGATAAAGGCTGATTACATTCGGCCTTTAAAATTGGTCCAGGCGCATAACGAAACTGTGTCCACAATGGACTGTGATAAATCTTGAGGCAGTGGATAGGGTGAAGAGCTTGCCGTCACGGAAGTGGTCGTACATGACGTCCCGTGTACAGATAAACAAACGATCAGGTGTACAACGGCACTTGGTCGGACAGTCTCCACTTTTCACATGGTGAGAATCAATATGATGCGCTAATACAAGACTTGGTGAACACTTTCGAGTAGCAGGCTTAATACGATGGCACTTTTATAAAATACTCTCACTTGCACACTAATTTAGTTTTAACGGTAAACCAGACTGGATTCGGCTGGAACTCTCGTTTATGTTGATCTTTTCAACTCAATGTTCTGCACCAGGCCGCCTCATGTTTCGGTTTTTATGATATTCAAGATGTCGCAGTCCAGAGGTTACGTGGGGACTGCGCCTACCTAATGAGCCTAAGAAGAACGAAACCGGTCGTGGGTTGTCAAAGAGACCCTAGCAACCTTTATATATA